ATATTTGTCTTTCCTACAAATAGCCCTATAGAATAATTCTTGCTATTTCTGACATTTCATATACATTCCTGCTTTATATTTTATATATATATATATTTATATATATATTTCAAGAAGCCACAAGTAAATACTATTTTCTTTGCAACAACAACATTTTTAAAGAAGCTTACAGTAAAACATAAAAAAATGCCTCAAGTGGAATTTCTCTCGTAAATGCATTCATACTCTGGCAATTTCTCAACAAAAGTGGACCCTAGAATTCTCTGTCCACTCTACAGTGGTCCATTTAAGACTTCTGCAGCTTAGATCATACATTTCATTTCATCGTCTGAGGTTCTGCATTTCTGACTGGAGCAGAGGAGATGAAGAATGCTTTTTAATTTTTAAAATCGTTCAGTGCAAAATAAGATTTGTGCCGTAGTCTCTCTTTTCAAATGAAGCAAAATTCAACAGATGTAAAGAAAAAAAAAAGGCTTCTTTACCAGATTGATAAAATATTGTAAATCTTACTGTATTAAGAGCTTGAGAACTGTATCGTTGAGAGCTGTTGTAAAATGCTTTCTAATGCACTGTAAAGTGTCCAGAGGAAAATCAAAATAGGATATACTGTATACAGTACCTTCAGAACGTATTCAAACACTTTTACTTTTCCCATATTTTGTTGTGTTATAAAGTGGGATTAAAATTGATTTAATTGTATTTTTTTGGTCAATGATCTACACAAAATACTCATGTAAAAGTGGAAGATTCTTTGTATTATTAATGTAAAATAAAATACTAATATATCTTGATTAGATAAGTATTCAACCCCCCGAGTCAATACATGTTAGAATCACCTTTGGCAGCGATTACAGCTATGAGTCTTTCTGGGTAAGAGCTTTTTCTCTAAGAGCTTTGCACACCTGGATTGTACAATATTTTCCCATTATTCTTTAAAAAATGTGTCAAGCTCTGTCAAGATACAACCAGAGCATTTTGCCAGCAGCATCCCACCCTGCATCCCACTGCTGGCTTGCCTCAGAAGCTAAAGCAGGATTGGTCCTGGTCAGTCCTTGGATGGGACACCAGATGCTACTGGAAGTGGTGTTGGACTTTGTCCTCTCGTCCCCCCAAAAAAATATCCCAATACCCCAGGGCAGTGATTGGGGACATTGCCCTGTGTAGGGTACCGTCTTTCGGATGGGACGTTAAACGGGTATCCTGACTCTCTGTGGTTACTAAAGATCCCATGGCACTTATCGTAAGACTAGCAGTGTTAACCCCGGTGTCCTGGCTAAATTCCCAATCTGGTCCTCATACCATCATGGTCACCTAATCATCCCCAGCTTCCAATTGGCTCATTCATCCCCCCTCCTCTCACCTGTAACTATTCCCCAGGTTGTTGCTGTAAATGAGAAAGTGTTCTCAGTCAACTTACCAGGTTAAATAAATAAATAAAAAGATGGTTGTTGATCATTGCTAGACTGCCATTTTCAAGTCTTGCCATAGATTTTCAAGCCGATTTAAGTCAAAACATTAACTAGGCCACTCAGGAACATTCAATGTCATCTTGGTAAGCAACTCCACATTTTTACTAGGCTTGCCATAACAAAAGGGTTGAATACTTATTGACTCAAGACTTCAGCTTTTCATTTTTAATTAATTTGTAAACATTTCTAAAAAATAATTCCACTTTGACATTATGGGGTGTTCTGTCTAGATCAGTGAAACAACATCTCAATTGAATCCATTTTAAATTCAGGCTGTAGCACAACAAAATGTGGAAAAAGTAAAGGGGTGTCAATACTTTCTGATGGCACTGTAAATCTCTAGACCCCAATTGACGTACTTATTTGATAGTGTATTTACTATTTTGAGACTGTTCAACATCTTTGCCAATATGAGCTGATAAAAAGGCCCACATTTCAGACGCCATCTTACACCTGCTTCCTCCCTGCCGCCACCAGAGACAGCCTGCCGCTTACACACAGGTTTGACCGGTTGGCCTGCACTCAATCCACCTGCCTCATGGTTCAACCCCCAAACCGCATTGATACACAAATGTCAATCATATTACATTGTATTACCGGAATGTTTGGATAAAGTGTTGACCAAACTTTTATTGGTGTAAAACTGTTAATCAGAGTGTGGGAGCCAAACCTATTAGATAGAGGTAGATTGAATACAAGCCTTTGTGCAATTTCATCTGATGTTGGTTTCTCATTAATTTTGTCAGTGTTACCTATTCGTTACCAGTATTATCATTCATTATCATTATGGATTAAGGTTTGACCTTTTAGTAATAAAACCCTTTGTATAATATGCACTTCTTAAGTAACTCCATATTACAGTTATTTTTATATTAACTTATTTGTTTTAGGGCAGATTTGGGCTATCAAGTTTTCAGAGGCAATTCACAGTCTGAACTACAGTGCCGAAACCTGAATATCCTTAGACCCATTAATGTTAATTATATATGTTCATTGTTCCACATCATCTAGCAGCAAAAAATATGATTCATGAATTGGAGTTATTTAACTTTCTTTTAAACAATTTCACTGGATTTTCCACTTCAATCTATGTACTAAAATAGGCTTATTTATCCAAAATGTCTGCATGCAGTTTTCAATAATTTGCATCACATTTTCTAGCACATTGGAAACATTCACTTGATTGGGTACAAGTAATTATCTGTAGTGAAATAATGATACAAGGCACACTTGGTGTATTAAGCACTGGGGTCTAAGGATAAAACAGAGAAAAGGCACTGATAGAGAACAGATCCTGCAAATTCCTTGTTGCTTGTGTCATTTCACAAATGGTTTCTTCTCTAATTACTACCTCAATTATTCTCAATATTCAGTGGGAGTATTACAAGTTCTGTATGGACTTAAAAAAGAGGGCATGAAATGTGTAGACAGTTGTGTTTGTTTACCTATCTGCAGAATAAACTATTTCCAGTCTATAGCCTACCATGTGTCCATCTCTCTTTACTCATAACTTCGTTGTTGAGACTTTTGACACCAAATAATTGTTTTAATTTTGTATAAACAAATAATGTAGTAAAAATGGGAAGATACTGCAGTCCAATTAGACAGTGAAAAAAACAAATATGACATGACAGGTGTACACCCACTTCTGTGTTGTCCTTGACAATACAATGGGTCAGATTCTCAAAAAATAAATTTCCGCAAACAAATAAATACAAATTGACATAATTGATCAATTCTAATGTTACATTATCCACTTAAGGAGCTGAAGACTTAAGTGTATTGAAATACAATTGCAACCTTCTCGTTAAAAGGGGGAAACTAAAACAGGTAATTTTATCTTCTTTTTTTTGAAGGGGTATGGTCCATTATTTGTCATCGACATCATGTCAGATTCATAAAGTCATCGAAATAGTGGAGTAGAGTAGTTTTTTAAACGCAGGTGTGTGTGTTTGTGTCTCTACCTAGATAGCAAAAGCATCATTAGGCTACTGTGTTGTGGTCACTAGTGCTCAGAATCACCTTGTACAGCCCTCCACGTATGCACTCTGAGAACAAATGTATTCAAAATAAATGTCATCAGAGGCCAAGACTAGGAAGGGTGTGCAGTATGTTGCATCACATCACAAACCGAGATGACTAGCTGAACAATTTGCACATGTTACAAAACAGATCAGGACCAACAGTGAGCAGGCATTGGCAATAAAACACAAATGCATAAGAGCTAAACTAACCTCTGTCTGCGGTCACTATCCTTTGGTAAGGATGGACCCGCAGTTTGTGCCTTCGAACCTTAGCAGTCACTGCACCTGCTCGGATTGCAACAACATGACCAAAACAAGGATTAGGTCATTTCATCCTTCACCGTTTCCATCAAGTCAATTCATCATATCATCAGAGTTTATATGACCAAACACGTAACAAAATTATGAAAAATGTTAAGGCACAAATTATACTCATATATTTCATTGTAACAACGAGAAATCTTGGACCTAGTAGCATTCGTGACTATGGAGTAACCTTGACTGTAAGGATCCATTGTTTTCTTGAGTCCTTGTTACAGATTCACAGAAATTAGGCATTTATGCATACACACACACGCACACAGAGGGGAGCTTTACTAGTCACATAATCTCAGGTTGAGCATCAGGAAGTGCATCTCTTCAGTTATTCATTTTAAATATAATACTGATCACTCACTCTCTGGTTAAAGCCCAGAGATGAAAGCTTTTAGGCACATTTGCAGTAGTAAAAAAATGAACATCTCTTATTAAAAAATTAAACAAAGAATATGTAGAAAAAAAGGCTATGAATTAAGTGATTAGTAAAGCCAGACAGTATTGTATAGATTTTCAAACCCAGACATAGCAGTCAGTGATACAGTCGCATAGATCTGCGAAAATATACATGTATGGCTGTATGCGTACAGGATGCACATTCACACATAATGCATGGTGTTAAGGGCTGTGCCTCCTTGGGGTAAACATCAGTAGTGAGGGAGCCTGTCTGTCTGTCTGTCTGACTGACTGCTATAGGCCTGGCTCATGGTTCATTATACTCAAAGGCAGCTGTGAAACAAAAGTGCATGTGTGTTAACACTCGATCGGATGAGGGACTCAGTAAGGATCCATGAAACTCTTTTAGCCTTTCGTGGGGAAAGCCACACCTATAGAATAAAGGAAGGGAATGGGGAATTAGTGCCAGGAGTGTCTGTCCTTTGAGAAGCAACACACACCAGGCCCTATTCCCAAAGCCATTTTAGGACACTCCGTTTGAGTCGATGCAAAAACGTGTTACACAAAAGGGCTATGTTGTTCACTCACTGACTGTCGATTGGAGTGGCTACACTTGAGCTGAAAGTCTCATTCTGTGAATATTTTTTCATAAGAATGAAGTTAAGACTGTCAGTGTCGGGACAGAACGTCCTAAAATCCCTTTGTGAATAAAGCCTGTCAAGCCTAAATGCTTTAACTGCAGGTGCCCCATCGCCAACACACCCCATCACCCCCTTGGCTCTGCAACACCTCTCTCTCGACCCCCACTGACCCCTCACCGTCCTCATGTTACCCCTCAGGACGCGCCCAAGCCACACCCAGAGAGAGGGTGGCGCCCCCAAGGGGGGTCTGCAGCAATGTGGGGCTCAGTGCTTGTTCTCCCTCATCATCATACACAAATACATCATCATGATCATCAGGACAGGAAATCAAAAAGGGTTGATCAGTAACACACACGTCACTTTGAACAGACATTAAAAGAGGAAGGGCTGAGGCTTCCCCATGTGGCTTGTGGTTGCTCAGGGAGGGCCAATCCTCAACCAGTCCAACGTGTGGTGGCGGGGAGGGAGGAGGGGGATGAGGAGGTGGGTGTGTGTTGTTTGAGGGGATGGAGGGAAAGAGGAAGGGAAGGGGTGTACTTTAAAAGGGAGACCGGTAGGAGGGCTCTCCTCGCTGCACAGTGATGGGAAAGTGACAGGTCTGAAACCCCAGGTAGAGGGGCAGCTCTTCGGCCTTTGAGGACGCTGTATAGGTTACACAAGAGAGAGAGACAGGGTGAAATCTTCACTGGGCTCCGCCGCTCCTCGACCCCCCCCCTCACAGTAACCCCCCCCCCCCCCCCGAATCACCTCTCCCTTCACCCAGACACACAGTTGGAGGCTTGGTCCACTGCATTAGACGGAACTACTGGTACTACTGGTGTCAGCTACTGGCTGACAGGGCACACCCTGGCTGTCTAGAATGTGCTCAACACAATTGGACAAGCTGCTGTTGACATTTTGGTGCATTGGTAACAGTTCAGATTTACAATGTGCCTTTGGGTACAGTCTGTCTTAATGGAGTCACGTTGTGTTTGTAATATGATATTTTCTAAAGTGGCTTTTCCAAAGCCATAGGGCTATGTGTGTATGCAGGGACTGGGAGAGAGGAGGGTAAGGACCCTTTTCCAAATGAAACCGCTCCTTCTTATAATTCACAGAGCCAGTAGAGCATTTAACTGCCAGTTCATTTATGCACACATTTCTTAAATAGCTTTTTAGATGAGAGAAGTGTCTCATGATAGTGAAAAGAAAGATGCAGTAAAGAGCTGAAATGTTTTTTTTTTCTGTTGCTGACCCTTCTCTTTGAGAGTTATCTCCTGGGAGGCTGGGGCGGGCAAGGGCGAGAGAAGGAGTGTGGTGTTATTCTGAGGGGGGGGGGGGGGGGGGGGGTCGTCGCAAAAGTGGGAATGGGGGGCGGGGCCTTATTTAGGAGGAGTGGCGCAGGATCAGCGTGGGGGCGGGGTTCCACTGGCCATGGGGGTGGTGGTGTTGGTGGGGGGCTGCGGGGCAATCGCAGGGGCACGCATGCTTACCTAACACCCCGCTGGAGTCGATGGGGTACTCCAGGATGGAGGTGGCAGGGGCCAGCGTGTAGGGGTAATCGTAGGGCGATGCGTATATGAGGCCCGACTCGGGACCCTGGGTCATGACGCCCGGGTGGGGCGAGCCGTTGGGCATGCAGGTCTGGATCTGTCGGATCAGGGGCATTAGGGTGGGGCCGGCCGGGGTGGGCGTGCGCAGGGCGTTCTGGGGCATGGGGGCGGGGCCGGTGATGATGCGGGGCGCCTGGGCGTTCGCTGCAAGAGAGAAGGCAAGGGCAGCTGGAGTGAGCGGAAAACACGGGAGGAGGAGGAGAAGGGAGGGGTGTGGAGAGACCAGAGGGGAGGAGAGGGGAGGGGTGTGGAGAGACCAAAGGGAGGAGAGGGAGGGGTGTGGAGAGACCAGAGGGGAGGAGAGGGGAGGGGTGTGGAGAGACCAGAGGGGAGGAGAGAGGAGGGGTGTGGAGAGACCAGAGGGGAGGAGAGAGGAGGGGTGTGGAGAGACCAGAGGGGAGGAGAGAGGAGGGGTGTGGAGAGACCAGAGGGGAGGAGGAGGGGAGGGTTGGGGAAGAACCAGAGGGGAGGAGAGAGGAGGGGTGTGGAGCGACCCAGAGGGGAGGAGAGAGAGAGGAGGGGTGTGGAGGAGACCAGAGGGGAGGAGAGAGGAGGGGGTGATGGAGCGACCGAGGGGGTAGGAGAGGGAGGGTGTGGAGAGACCATGAGGGGAGGAGTAGAGGAGGGGTGTGGAGGAGACCAGAGGGGAGGAGAGAGGAGGGGTCGTGGAGAGACCAGAGGGGAGGAGAGAGGAGGGGTGTAGGAGAGACCAAGAGGGGAGGAGAGAGGAGGGGGTGGTGGAGAGACCAGAGGGGAGGAGAGGGGAGGGGTGTGGAGAGACCAGAGGGGAGGAGAGAGGAGGGGTGTGGAGAGACCAGAGGGGAGGAGAGGGGAGGGGTGTGGAGAGACCAGAGGGGAGGAGAGAGGAGGGGTGTGGAGAGACCAGAGGGGAGGAGAGGTGGAAGAAAAAGGATACAAAACACAAGTTAGCATCTATCACACATATCATAGGACACACTCAAAGCATATCAGATAAGTCAAGAATAGGAGAACCAGCTACATAAGCAAACTGTTCGACACACTGGCCTTAGCTTCCACTACACAGCATTTAGCATTATGTAAGAGAGGTCTTCAAGGCTTGCCTCCATTCATCTCTAGCACTGAGTTCAATTCTGGCACAACAGTGCTGGCTGGGATCTGTTTAGGACAAACACCATGTGATTTGAATGAGGCACGCATCTCCCTCAGCGACACAAAATGGACGCCCAGTCAGAGCCAGACCTCTCTTCCTCCTTCAAAGAACTTGACTCGATTGAATGCCACACAATAGGACAGCAGGGAATCTAAAGTAACTAAAGCAACAAAAAAATACACTGAGGTGAATACTGAATGTGGCAAGCCAAAAGCACACTTCAATTCAGCCACTGTGCATGGCATCACACAACACTCCTCGCTTGTTGTGAGAGAAAAGGAGCAGTTTGAATTACACCCAACTGCTCCCGGACACACAAAGGGCTGTTCTACTGTGTCAGTTAGCGCCTGGCCCCCCTAGGAAGAGGGAGAAGGGTGTGGTGATGTCATCCTTACGTGACTTGATGTTGGCGTCTCGGTAGGTGCCGTTGAGGATGGCCAACTCCATTAGCTGCATCTTCTTCAGGCTGTCCTCTCCCTCTGCCTGGAACAGTCACAAATAGAGCATAATATGTTGAATGGCGACTCACGTCTGTACACATACAGTACACTTGGATCACAGTCACACTGTATAATTGTCTCACATCAGTACACAGTCACTCAGCTCTCTCACACACACACACACCACACGCACGCACACACACACACACACGCACACACACACACACGCACACACACACACACACACAGAATCCAAATCTACAAAGAAACCAATGGCATCCGATCCTCCCAGACATTGCCAGACACCGAAAGACACATACACAAACTTTCCTACCAACTATCAGCAATTACTAAGCTCCCAAAATGATTCAATTGTTTCATTTGTGTTCATTTATGTGCGTACTGAAGCGATTGGTTGAAAGTTTGAAAAGATCCAGCAGCAGCCCAGATCTAGATTCAGCAGCAGTAGGGTATCTAATCTGCCACAGCATCTTTGATATTTACATCAGCCCTAATCGGCTCATCTTCCAGCGTAACGAATGGGAGGAGAAACACTTTGTTCATCAGTCAAACTTTTTCACATCACTGGGATGATTAATCTCCACGCCTAGAGCGAAAATAACGTCAGAAAATATAACGCAATCAGACATCCCTTTATCAGAACTTTGATTTGGGGAAATGCAGTAAAGATGAGAAAAGGCATTGACCTGACATGCTACATTCTCAAGCCCCATACTGTGTGTGTGTGTGTGTGTGTGTGTGTGTGTGTGTGTGTGTGTGTGTGTGTGTGTGTGTGTTTACCGTTTATAGAATCACAGTAAATTTACTTTCAGAAAACACTCTGAGCCAAGTCTCCAATAGCCTCGGGAGCCAAAAACAAAACGCTCAAAGGGCTCCTGTATCTAAACATTAATACTTTTAATAAGTGAAGTCTGCAGTGATTAATAGTCTATGAAGAAAAGGCAATGCAGGAATAAATCCCTCTGACTCTGTATTTAATCAACAGAGTGTACTGTGGTTCCAAAGGAGGCTGGTGGGAGGAGCTATATGAGGACGGGCTCATTGTAATAGCTGGAAAGGAATCAATTGAACGGTGTCAAACACATCAAACATGGAAACCACGTTTGACTCCTACAATGAGACCGTCCTCCTACAGCTCCTCCCACCAGCCTCCTTTGTCTAGTTCTCTTTGAGCAGCAGCGTAGCATCAATACAATGTGTGTGTGTGTGTGCTTTTGGGAGTGTTTAAGGACGATACAGTGTCATCCTCTGCACACGCCTCTCCTATTATATCCCTAAACACGTTAGGGAGGTGTGGAGGTTTCTCGATCTTGGACAATGGACACCAATGGATGACTATTGGTATGATTGGTTTCTAGTCTGCCTTCAGCTTGTAGTGGCTGGCCTGGGCCAGTGAGTGGTGCTGTGTTGTCACTCATATCAGTGAGTCCAGTTGGGCTCTCTAACCTACACCTACACTGTTACAGTCAGGACTACCGGACATGCTGACACCTTGCTGTCCCCAGTCCGCCTGGCCTTGCTGCTATTCCAGTTTCAACTGTTCTGCCTGCGGTTACGAAACCCCTACCTGTCCCAGACCTGCTGTTTTCAACTCTTAATGATCGGCTATGAAAAGCCAACTGAGATTTATTCCTGATTATTATTTGACCATGCTTGTCACTTATGAACATTTTTGAACATCTTGGCATGGTTCTGTTATAATCTCCACCCGGCACAGCCAGAAGAGGACTGGCCACCCCTCATAGCCTGGTTCCTCTCTAGGTTTCTTCCTAGGTTTTGGCCTTTCTAGGGAGTTTTTCCTAGCCACCGTGCTTCTACACCTGCATTACTAGCTGTTTGGGGTTTTAGGCTGGGTTTCTGTACAGCACTTCGAGATATTAGCTGATGTACGAAGGGCTATATAAAATAAAATTGATTGATTGATTGATACAGTCTGTATACTGCTGTTATGTGGTTCTGGTTAGGGATACACGTGTGAGAGTCTGTTGACCATGACTGCTTGGCTCTCTACTTTAGCTGTCAGTGTCAATGGCAGTAGTCCATGAGTCATGTTCTCACATTAACCTCTGTATGTCTCTTCCTAAATCTCCCAGCTAGCCACATCACAGGAGGTTGGTGGCACCTTAATTGGGGAGGATGGGCTCGTGGTAATGACTGGAGCGGAATCAGTGGAATGGTATCAAATACATCAAACACATGGTCTCCAGGTGTTTGATGCAATTCCATTTGCTCCGTTCCGGCCATTATTATGAGCCGTTCTCCCCTCAGCAGCCTCCACTGAGCCACATGTAGCACAAGGTGAAGGTACCAACAGAGTCAGGTGGAATAGTTATAAGGTTGATTCTATTTCTCTCGCAACCTTATTCTGGAATACATTAAGACTCCTACCACTTCCTTTAGTTTTCTTACTGTTCTGTCCCTCTGCTCTCTCTCTTCTCTATCTCTCTCCTTGCACTCCCTCTCTGCCTCCCTCTGCTGTGACAGTGTTGCCGTGGGCCTTTCCTGCTCCCACAGCTAAACCCTGCCAAGCACAGGCACAAAAGGGCCTCTCTCTGTCTCTCTCTGCACAACTCACACAGTAGCACAGCTCAGTAGCCGGCCACAGACACTGGAGCGTGTGTTTTTCAGTGTGTGTGTGTGTTTGTGTCTTTAAAAAAAATTGTGTGAGCAAGTGTGAGTACGCATTTGTGTTTCTATGGGCTCTATTTCCGTCTGGCGCTAAGGAGGCGCAAGTGTCAAACACACGTTAGTTTGGAATTTCATCATTGTAAAAGCTGGTGCACTGGCTTACGTCAGGTTCTGCAATTTACTGTCTAACATCAGCTTGCTTGCGCTGAGGTGGGAGAGGTGGCAATATTTTAGGTGGGTCCTTAAAAACAAGCCAAAAGTGACAATTTCATGCAGCGCTAATGGGAAGTTTTAAGACCCACCAAAAGCAGGTCTTATCAGTAACGCAGTTGGTAATGGAGTGGATTTTGAGAGCGGAAGCGCAACTTACCCAGCCATGACGCATAGTGCCCATGGAAGGAGAGATGTGCCTTTTGTGCCAGTGAATCTCGAATTTAGAAACATAAAAAAAGCGATTGAATTCCACCCATTACATTTCATTTTATTCAAACAGAAGCATAGCCTACCCTCCTCTTAATATTACTATTTAAATACTGGCCATGCATTAGCCAAGTAGCCTATGAATAAAGGGGTTTGAAATGGTCTACTGAGAGGACCTTGAAATATTGGAGGTTTTTGCCTTCATGCCTTTCCATGATTCACAACTCACATACCTGCATACTTCATTTCTCTTGTTCAAGTAGGCTATCTATCCTCATTTTCAAAGAGCGCCCCTTGTCCGATTACTAAAGACGCGCTCCTCCAAACTATTCAGTCCTCTAATAATTCCATATCAACTGCAATTTTTTGGGAGAATGTGCCTCGCACATAGGTAACGCTACAATTGACAGGAGCATAGGATTTTGTATAGACATGCAAATGTTATGCGTAAAGACATTTAGGCCTACGTGTGCACACTGCCATTGAACGAGAAATGCGATTTATGATATCATGCTTCCTACCTGATCCTATTTAGAAATATTGTTGTTGGTTTAAAAAAACAGATTGCTTGTTTTGATTAAAAACCAAGCATAGCCTCCCCTCCCCTCAATGTGTTTTTTGTCCTGCCCAATGCATTTGTCAAACAGTGTTTGGCTCGTGAGACTGCTTTGAAATAAATATGAATCACCAAAGCTTTATTAAAAGATCAAGTTTGGGAGCAGCAAAACAGTGAGCCGACTTCCCCTTTTTATCCTTATTCTAGGCAGCTCCCGTTATTATTTGGGATATGTGCAAAAGCCTCCATAATCTACCTTAATATTATATGCCTACGGGGAGAAATTATGGTGCCTGTAACTGTATTAAGACATAGCCTACTTAAAACAAGTTGTTTAGTTTTGATTAGAATTTGATTAGAATTATTCATTCTCTTTTTTAAGTCTTATCAATAGTGAATGTAATCTTGTTTATTGACAATATTTCGCATGTCCATGGCTCAGACATGGCAGACATAACGCAATTTACAGTAGGCCTAGCCCCTATATCAATGTGAATGCTATGTTTAACAATATATTTCCATATTGAAGCCATGCAATTAGGCTTCTTACAATGTTGACTGCAAACATGTTCAACATATTTAGCAAAGATGGGCTAGGCCCATTATTTTGTTTCTGTAGGCTATTTAACAAACTAGGCTATAACAGACTAACATTCAAATTGGAGTTGATGACAACGCAATACATACAATGACGTAAATAAACAACTTGAAGCAACCACAAATGTAGCAATGGAGCATATTCTGATTGGCCAGTGAGGGGTCAAGCCTTGACACACCTACAACTTGTTTATTAATCAAAACCCAGCCCTTTTGCGCCCCCACCAGCCACTCTGTCCAGTGTCTGTGTTCTTTTGCCCATCTTATCTTTTCTTTTTATTGGCCAGTCTGAGATATGGCTTTTTCTGCCTAGAAGGTCAGCATCCCGGAGTCGCCTCTTCACTGTTGACGTTGAGACTGGTGTTTTGCGGGTACTATTTAATGAAGCTGCCAGTTGAGGACCTGTGAGGCATCTTTTCTCAAACTAGACACTATTCTGGTTAGAGCCAGTTTGCGCTGTTCTGTGAAGGGAGTAGTACACAGCGTTGTACGAGATCTTCAGTTTCTTGGCAATTTCTTGCATGGAATAGCCTTCATTTCTCAGAACAAGAATAGACTGACGAGTTTCAGAAGAAAGTTATTTGTTTCTGGCCATTTTGAGCCTGTAATCGAACCCACAATTGCTGATGATCCAGATACTCAACTAGTCTCAAGAAGGACAGTTTTATTGCTTCTTTAAAATCAGCACAACAGTTTTAAGCTGTGATAACATAATTGCAAAAGGGTTTTCTAATGATCAATTAGCCTTTTAAAATGATAAACTTGGATTAGTAAACACAACGTGTCATTGGAACACAGGACTGATGGTTGCTGATAATGGGACTCTGTACACCTATGTAAATATTGCAATAACAAACAGTCGTTTCCAGCTACAATAGCCATTTACAACATTAACAATGTCTACACTGTATTTCTGATCAATTTGATGTTATTTTAATGGACAAAAATATTGTTTTTATTTAAAAAACAAGGACATTTCTAAGTGACCCCAAACGTTTGAATGGTAGTGTATGTGTGTGTATGTGTGTGTATGTGTGTGTATGCGTGTTTTTGTGTGTGTTTATATGTTTTTACAGTTTACACTTGCTCAGTTTCTGGCAGCAAACATCAATAAGGTCGATTTCAGTCAAATCCAGACGATAAACCCTTTTCATCTGGTTCTTGGTTTTGCATTATTCCTTCCTATCTGTCCCTATCGGCACCTGCAGTGAGCCTACAGTTTGGAGTGCTATGTATTATAGAATTTGACGGGAGGGTAAAACCCATGACTTCAGCGCCAGTTAATCCATGACCATGCTAACATGCCTAGCCATGCAACAGTTAACTCTTAACCCCTTTCAACAGATCCCTCATGTCTTTGTTCAAAATATTTTTCCTCTTTAGTTAGACTGATTTATGCTAAATGCAGATGCCATTTCCATTAGATTTGGTCCTCGTCAGATGTTTGGAGCAGTGAATGCATGTTCACATGTGATTCAGTCTATACTGGGAAAAGCATGTCAGAAAATAACATCTAAAATGATGATGCAGATGATTCAAAGGGCAGAAGATTCAATCATCTTGCCTTGTTCTGATGGGCTAATTGACATCATGTGAGTCAACTGGAGGTGTACCTGTGGATGTATTTCAAGGCCTACCTTCAAACTCAGTGCCTCTTTGCTTGACATCATGAAAAAAAAAAAAAAAAAAAAAAAAATTGTAGACCTCCACAAGTCTGGTTCATCCTTGGGAGCAATTTCCAAATGCCTGAAGGTACCACGTTCATCTGTACAAATAATAGTACGCAAGTATAAACACCATGGGACTACGCAGCCGTCATACCGCACAGGAAGGAGACGCGTTCTGTCTCCTAGAGATGAACGTACTTTGGTGCGAAAAGTGCAAATCAATCCCAGAACAACAGCAAAGGACCTTGTGAAGATGCTGGAGGAAACAGCTACAAAAGTATCTATATCCACAGTAAAACGAGGTCTATATCGACATAACCTGAAAGGCCGCTCAGCAAGGAAGAAGCCACTGCTCCAAAACCGCCATAAAAAAGCCAGACTACGGTTTGCAACTGCACATGGGGACAAAGATCATACTTTTGGAGAAATGTCCTCTGGTCTGATGAAACAAAAATATAACTGTTTGGCCATAATGACCATAATGTTTGGAGGAAAAAGGGGGTTGCTTGCAAGCCGAAGAACACCATCCCAACCGTGAAGCACGGGGGTGGCAGCAACATGCTGTGGGTGTGCTTTGCTGCAGGAGGGACCGGTGTACTTCACAAAATAGATGGCATCATGAGGAAGGAAAATTATGTGGATATATTGAACAACATCTCAAGACATCAGTCAAGAAGTTAAAGCTTGGTCACAAATGGGTCTTCCAAATGGACAATTACATTTACATTTTAGCAGATGCTCTTATCCAGAGCGACTTACAGTTAGTGAGTGCATACATATTTTTTCTCATACTGGCCCCCCGTGGGAAACAAACCCACAACCCTGGCGTTGCAAGCGCCATGCTCTACCAACTGAGCTACACGGGACCCAACCATGACCCCAAGCATACTTCCAAAGTTGTGGCAAAATGGCTTAAGGACAACAAAGTCAAGGTATTAGAGTGGCCATCACAAAGCCCTGACCTCAATCCTATAGAAAATGTGTGGGCAGAACTGAAAAAGCGTGTGCGAGCAAGGAGGCCTACAAACCTGATTCAGTTACACCAGCTCTCTCAGGAGGAATGGGCCAAAATTCACCCAACGTATTGTGGGAAGCTTGTGGAAGGCTACCCGAAACGCTTAACCCAAGTTAAACAATTTAAAGGCAATGCTACCAAATACTAATTGAGTGTATGTAAACTTCTGACCCACTGGGAATGTGATGAAAGAACTAAAAGCTGAAATAAATCATTCTCTCTACTATTATTCTGACATTTCACATTCTTAAAATAAAGTGGTGATCCTAACTGACCTAAGACAGGGCATTTTTACTAGGATTAAATGTCAGGAATTGTGAAAAACAGAGTTTAAATTTATTTGGTTAAGGTGTAGGTAAACTTCCGACTTCAACTGTATGTGCTTTATGGTCAAAACACCCCAAACTACTAACTCTATCCCCATATCTACTGAACAGAACACAATGACAAGACGGAAAATGACCCTGCAGAAAAGATGTCATTCCACATCCATTGAGATATTAATAGAGCAATTGTCAATGCAGACAGACTGCCCAACCCAGTGCTGTCTATCTGTGTGTGTTTGTGTTTGTGTGTGTGTGTCACGGTAAATACAATCTTGTCATCGGAAATCTGTTTCGGGTGCAAATACCATCCTGTACCCAATCAGAATGACTCATTAGATGTAATCAGGGAAGCGAGTGAAGAGAATGAATGCTCTCAGATTTGCAGGTTTGATTTTCTTTGTCTACGTGTCGGCCATTGATTTCCTTCCCACTGCTGTGGAGGGAGGCTGTGAGTGTTGAGCTGTCGATGTGATGAGCAGAAGACCTGTGTGTGTTTGTGTCTATCTGTCTGTCTGTCTGTCTGTCTGTCCATGTGTGTGTGTCCAGTGGCACAGCCCCCTTTGGGAGCCTGCTCAGGTCACGCAGTGTGGAATGCTTTTTATGTCCTCCTGTAGCTCAGTTGGTAGAGCATGGCGCTTGCAACACCAGGGTTGTGCGTTCGATTCCCACAGGGGGGCCAGTATGAAAAATGTATGCACTCACTAACTGTACGTCGCTCTGGATAAGAGCGTCTGCTAAATTACTAAAATGTAAAATGTAATGTCAGCTTGCATAAAGAGGAATAATTCCACTGCTATTCAGGCTGGGATCACTATGACCTTGGGAGCACGATGACTGCCAGCCTACCCCTTTCCATGTCAGACTGAAGAGCACTCTTTTGCTTTGTCTCTGATCTCTGTCTCTAACTTTGGTCTTAAATATGATCAGTAAACAACTATCGCTTTCTCATATTTTACAGAACAAATTCCAATAAACATTTATGGTCGCAATTCTCATTCAATTGTGGCTCTTGTCCTCTGTGTATTTCTGGTAACTGACATGAAACAAATGCAAAGTAGAGTGATGACGGTGAAAAGACCAATTAACACAGTGGTCTGGAGTTCCATTACATCATTACAGCAGCTTTTACAATGTAGCTCCCCCTTTCAAGGGCGAGGGGCTGCGCCCGTCAACTCAGACAGTCCCTCCAATTGGCTGTTTAGGAGGAGGACGGGCAGGGTTGTGCTCTAATTGGCTGGATAGGGACACGGAGGAGGACGGGGTGGATGTGGAAACCGGACACCTCTCTCTCGCTCTCCCCTCTCTCTCTCTCCAGGAACTCATCCCACTCCCAGCGAGTACAGCTGCCATCTCTGAACATCCCCCTCTGTTCCCTCCTCGGTCTTGGCAGCCAGCCACGGTGTCGCCTCATTCTCTCATACCCTTCCTGTCTCTCCAACCACACGGACACTCCGACCAGTTTCCCAACAACCAGTTTCTCCCCAAACTTTCAATCCGGCTACAACCCATCTCTACTTGCACCAGAGCCAAGAGAGGGGAAGGCACTAGAGCTAATGATATCAGCCATTTGAGAGGGTCTGATGAGTGAGAGAGAAGAGGGAAAGTTTGGCTGGGAGTTTAGTTAACTGCAAGCCAGGGCTTTTCCTTCCAGAGACACAGTCCCCATTAATTACAGTGCAGCTATAGACAGGCAGGAGTGCAGAGCTGAACATCACACTTCACTACACCCACCCTCCCTTTCAGCTGAGACAGGGACAGGACACAGAGATGCTGCTGATCAGTACAGAGAAAACACTCTGTGGAAAGGCCTTGTTTCCTGTTTGTTTTCACACACACACACACACACACACACACACACACACACACACACACACACACACACACACACACACACACACACACACACACACACACACACACACACACACACACACGTCCAAAGTGAGAGATAAAGACTAATGTAAGCCTCTTAATCCAATATATATGTTAATTAGAGTTGTAGCACCCCTTTTAGCTGGCTAATTAGATGAACACTCGTTAAAATGCACAGTGAAAACACTGTCCATGTTTACCGCAACAGTACCACTGTTGCTACCATGGAGACCAGAGACAATGGTAGCAAAGGCTATATTTACACTATACAACATGTGTAGGATCTGTGACTTATGCATCAGAGAGGATATGGGGCCTTCAAGAGTCAACAAGTTGTTACACAACTTAGTGCAACTGAATGTCCAAACACCAATAAGAGGTTTGATTATGTAAGGTTCAAACAGCATACCCTGGCCGTCTCTCCTTTGTCTCCGGGCTCACACAATGAGGAGAGATGAGGAGGGTAAAATTAGACCACAGGTTATTTTGAGAACAGTCTGGGGTTGGGCGGGGAAAAAGTATTTCCTGGTTGGACAGGACATGGCTGAGGGTCACAGGGAAATAGGTGTGTGTGTGTATGTGTGTGTGTGTGCTTTTCGATTACAAATGTTGTTTAACCTATCACAACAACCCTGGAGTATTGGCAATGGCATGTGTTTGCATATTTACATGTACATGGGTAGCGTGTACTTACTGAAGAGTACTAGCTAAGTATATTTGTCCAACTGTGTGTGTGTCTATGTGTACTGTGTATGATAACTAGCCACTGTGTGCTCACACACGCACACTCTCACAACTGGGTGAGAATTCAAAGTCATGGTAGGTCATGGGAAGTAAAGAGGAAGCGGGAAACTTAAGGAAGCCTTCAGCATCTCACTTGGTAATCTCAGAGAGTTCCCTGCGCTGCTCCAGGTGCATGGAGCTTTCATGTTAATTGGCTTTGGCAAAAGAGAAAGAGAGAGGGAGCGGAGTGGTGGTGTCCCCAGTGCATGAGGTTACTGTGTGTGATCTCTGCATGTTAATAGGCTGCTCTGATAGAATGCTTAGACATGACTGCATCACTGTGAGACACTTGTCTGGGAGAAAGAATGTAGGATGGGCTAGTGTTTTGACTCTAACACGATTTGATAAGGTTAATACTGTATTAGCAGAATCAATCAATATCAATAAATCAGTTGTATGGCTTATAATACACATCATTAGCCGGTTACATGTGTGATTACATGTAAAGGTTGAATTGAACTATGAGTAACATAGCAAAGACTGTATGCTCGAGGATACTGGAGACCTTTTGGGACCTTTTTGTATGACTTGCTGTATAAACACAAGCCTGTAATATGATAGAGCTATTATCCATCGAACTGTATCTAACATCTGTGTAGTGATCTGTATTACTATTAATGTAATTACAGTGATAAAGTTGGTTATTATGATAAGGTTGGTTATTATGATAAGGTTGTTATTAAGGTTGGTTATCCTCCAAAATAGGACAGTTTTAATGTGCCCCTTTCCCTCTCACAATTCTAAAAGAATAACCATGGTGTAGGTCACTGAAATGGGACTGCTATCCTTCCTACTTCACCTTGTCTCCAAGGTTAGAAGGATTTACACACAAGCCCCCAGTAATGGAGGGGTTTTATGACTTGTGTGAATGACATGTTTTGGGTGAAGAGCAAGAGCAGTGACACAGTAGGAGAGAGTGATCTACATTCACATGAGCTGGGCACATTAGGAATGGATGGTGCACAAAACCTTTCTGTGTTTCATTTAGTTATGCCTGCAAGCTACACAGCTAGAATCTGCACTAGCCAATTGGCCATGCACGCACACAGACACACACACACGCACACACACGCGCACACACACACGCACACACCACACGCACACACACCTGCACACACGCACCCCTACGATCAAAGGTACACAGTGCAGGTAAACACAGTGGGTTACTCCACCACGCAGGGCACCTCTTCCCATCAGAATACAGATCAAACGAGGAGGGGAGAATAAACTCATTAAATGAACAGCTTTGAAAAGTCTGGGAATTTCACAAACGCAAGCAGTCTCCCTTTAAACTCAGTTGAGTGTTTGGAGTGGCACAGACAGGCGGGCCTGCTCTCTCTACAGTGGATTGTTTACCCACCACATTGGCATAAACTGGGGTTCACATGCCTGTTAAACAGTGGGCACGGCAGGCATCACCCTGCTGCGGTGCCCCAGCACCCTTATCTCCCTTTAGAAGACACTACTCAGCCTTCACAACACGCTAAAAGACCGCCACAGCGATGTCACTTCCTCCCCAATCTGTCTGTCTCTGTGCCCGTACTTCAGAGATACGGACAGCGGGGAAAATACAGTTTCTCTCCACATCTCTTAACGTTCTCTAATCTTCCGAAAGAGGCCAACTGCCTGTCTTCCTTTTGAAAAATAGACTTGAGGAGATTTGCGTGTAAAAAATGCATGTCCTTGTCCATTATTCATCTTACAGGCTGCATTCTGATTGGTGGTCTGGCGGTGAATTGGAATTGCGATCTGCTCTCAAAAAGGGTCTTATCTCCATCATTGTCAGAGCCAAACAATCTGGATTGTAATAGTGAAGAAGTGTATTGATATAGAGATTTTTGTGAGAATACTCTGGTGGAAATACCTCTTGTAGAGGTGATATTTTACTGTATGTATCTACAGTATGTTATGTATTCAGAGGGATACAGTGGGGAAAAAAAGTATTTAGTCAGCCACCAATTGTGCATGTTCTCCCACTTAAAAAGATGAAAGGCCTGTAATTTTCATCATAGGTACACGTCAACTATGACAGACAAAATGAGAGAAAAAAATTCCAGAAAATCACATTGTAGGATTTTTTATGAATTTATTTGCAAATTATGGTGGAAAATAAGTATTTGGTCACCTACAAACAAGCAAGATTTCTGGCTCTCACAGACCTGTAACTTCTTCTTTAAGAGGCTCCTCTGTCCTCCACTCGTTACCTGTATTAATGGCACCTGTTTGAACTCGTTATCAGTATAAAAGACACCTGTCCACAACCTCAAACAGTCACACTCCAAACTCCACTATGGCCAAGACCAAAGAGCTGTCAAAGGACACCAGAAACAAAATTGTAGACCTGCACCAGGCTGGGAAGACTGAATCTGCAATAGGTAAGCAGCTTGGTTTGAAGAACTCAACTGTGGGAGCAATTATTAGGAAATGGAAGACATACAAGACCACTGATAATCTCCCTCGATCTGGGGCTCCACGCAAGATCTCACCCCGTGGGGTCAAAATGATCACAAGAACGGTGAGCAAAAATCCCAGAACCACACGGGGGGACCTAGTGAATGACCTGCAGAGAGCTGGGACCAAAGTAACAAAGCCTACCATCAGTAACACACTACGCCACCAGGGACTCAAATCCTGCAGTGCCAGACGTGTCCCCCTGCTTAAGCCAGTACATGTCCAGGCCCGTCTGAAGTTTGCTAGAGTGCATTTGGATGATCCAGAAGAGGATTGGGAGAATGTCATATGGTCAGATGAAACCAAAATATAACTTTTTGGTAAAAACTCAACTCGTCGTGTTTGGAGGACAAAGAATGCTGAGTTGCATCCAAAGAACACCATACCTACTGTGAAGCATGGGGGTGGAAACATCATGCTTTGGGGCTGTTTTTCTGCAAAGGGACCAGGACGACTGATCCGTGTAAAGGAAAGAATGAATGGGGCCATGTATCGTGAGATTTTGAGTGAAAACCTCCTTCCATCAGCAAGGGCATTGAAGATGAAACGTGGCTGGGTCTTTCAGCATGACAATGATCCCAAACACACCGCCCGGGCAACGAAGGAGTGGCTTCGTAAGAAGCATTTCAAGTTCCTGGAGTGGCCTAGCCAGTCTCCAGATCTCAACCCCATAGAAAATCTTTAGAGGGAGTTGAAAGTCCGTGTTGCCCAGCGACAGCCCCAAAACATCACTGCTCTAGAGGAGATCTGCATGGAGGAATGGGCCAAAATACCAGCAACAGTGTGTGAAAACCTTGTGAAGACTTACAGAAAACGTTTGACCTGTGTCATTGCCAACAAAGGGTATATAACAAAGTATTGAGAAACTTTTGTTATTGACCAAATACTTATTTTCCACCATAATTTGCAAATAAATTCATTAAAAATCCTACAATTTGATTTTCTGGATTTTTTTCCCTCATTTTGTCTGTCATAGTTGACGTGTACCTATGATGAAAATTACAGGCCTCTCTCATCTTTTTAAGTGGGAGAACTTGCACAATTGGTGGCTGACTAAATACTTTTTTTCCCCACTGTACATGGATCATGATAAACTTTCTTTGAGTGTGTCTCAGAGACCTTGAGTTTGGTATGAGAGCTTTTAGGCAACAGTGAAAGGCTTCTGTGCATAGGGTAATTTTGAAGTGTTTAGCTCATAATGATCAAGCCCTTAAAAAAAATTGTCTGCCAAATGACTTAAATGTCAATTGGATAGATCTCTAACAAAATACATAGAAGTCAAATAATACATTTTTGAAGCCACTG